ATTGCTGGTTTGCTGTGGGGTGGCAGGGCAGGTAGGCAGTGAGGGAACTGGTGGTTTGTTCCACTCTGGCATGTCCCAGAAGAGCCCTCTATCCTGGCAGCCCAACACTTGAAATTTTGGTCTTCTGGTGTAGGCTGGAGGGCACTGGCTGTCAGTGGGTATCTCCTCATGCCAGGCAGCTTCTTCAGAGGGTCTTGATGAGCTATCCTCTGACCAGGAATAAACCCAGGAACGTTCATGCTGCAAGGATTCCAGGCAGAATCCTCTTTTCAGGAATCTTTATGTACTCTGGCAGCTGTAACCTTTCACTGGGAAAATAAATCAAGAATTCAAATTCTTTTTCTAGTGCATCTCCTCTGTAAGACTTGGCCTTAATTATAAACTGAATTACAGCTGTAGGCAATCTTGATACTTCCTTGGGAGCACAACTCATGAGAGATGTGGCACTATGCTGGATTTCTTGCTCTGAAAGTTTGCAATTGTTTTGGACAGTCTGTAATTTCAAAATAAAAAAAAGAGTGGTCTTTGTCAAACCATTGAGCAAAAAATTATGCTGCAATACTATTTAACTGATGATTAGCTTTGGTGAGTGAAATGAGAAGACGAACTTTATGCAGTTGAAACAGGAGAAAAAAAAAATGAAAGGAAAGTAACTCTCAGTGAAAGATGTTTCTGGCTGCCTTTCAATTCCAAGTTCAGCTAATTCTACCTTCTGAAAAGAAGATAATTTCCACGTTTCTGTAACTGGGAACACGTAATTGAAGTTATTTTCTCCCAGAGAGAAGAAGCTTCTTCTACAATGTTCGTAAATGGACAAGAAAAATGACCACATACAGTGGATTCTGAATGATGGTGCATTCATCACAGCATCATCTTCAGATGCCTTTGCAGATTTTGCACTGCAGTTTTTATCCATACAGGTAAATATTTATGTGGGGATGGGGAAGGTTCTTGTTGGTGACTGCACCACAGTGACTGCAGAGCTCCCTTTTCTGGGCAGCCCTTACAGCTGAGATAGGTCTGGAGTAAAAAATATGCCAGGGAAGCACTGAAGCAAGTATCAGCTTTGAGTACCAAAATAATTATGCAGAGATTCCACAAAACTGCTTCTTTTGACCTGGCTTTTCAGGAACTGAACTTTAATAAGGAAGATGAGCCAGATGTTCTTGCAGCATTTTGATAGTGGCACAAGCAATTAGCTCACTTCCTTTGTAGCATGAAGATACTTTCTGCTACAGGGCTTAACCCTGGAAATGCTGGTGTTTTCCTTAATACCCCAACTAAGTATTCAGGACAGTGTTTATTTAGGAATGCTTTTGCATCTGCACATGCTATTGCAATCCTCTTCTCTTCCCTGAAGTTGCTTGGTGTTTGATGACAGTAGCAAAGGAGGCACTCAGGTGCCTGTGCTCCCAAAGCATAGTCCCTTCTGCCAGCTTTTTGCTGGGTTCTTTTCCGTTTTCATGGGTCAATTTATTGTCCCTGATGCTTCTGTGATTAGCCAGACAGAGTGGTGCTTGGGGTCTGCAAATCAATGCAGTCCCTTTCTTTGAGCTGTGTCTAGCTAAGAAAGTGGTTAATTGTGTGCATTAAGGTGTGTGCTTGGAGAAAAGAAAATGCATGAAATTAACTGGTAGATCAGACAGCAAGCTGAATTTCTAGACAGCCTTTATTATTGTGCAGATCAGGAGAAAATAGAGGAAGTTTAATATAAACAACAACACCACAACTCTGTTTTGTAAGGAAAGCCAGAATTGTATTTTTACCCTGACCTAACAAAGGAGGAGGAAGGAAACTGTTTTGCTGAAACAAGTATTTTATGTTGGACTGAGGATGCACTTTCCTCTCTATGTGTGTGTGTGTGTGTGCGTGTCCCAGCAAACAGCATGTTCATTTGCATGAAATGCATTTTCCTGGAGGCACGTAGTCAACATGTGCCATGGGAGGAGGAAGAAGATGTGCCTAGCACTACTTAAATACTGGTCAAAAAGGCATAGAATTTTAGTCAAAATAAGTCAAAGTGTCTCATAACATTGTGGTTGGTATTTGTTATTTCTGCTGTCATTGGGTACTGGATAGGAAATCTGCCTGGTTTGGAAAAGTGCAATGTAGATAAAATACGAGAGCAGTCTATTTATTGAGCGTATGAGGCAGTGTGGCCTCCAAAACCAGAGAGAGTCAGACAAAACTGAAAATCTGCAAATTTTGGTCTTTCATTTGAAAGGGCCTAGTCCAAACCTTCTGAATTAGTTATGGAGGGCTCCCCGGTTGAGAGGTGTGGGAAGCCAGCATGGAAAAGAGGGAGAGGCTTCAGCCACCTCCTGCCAATGCCTGGCTGTGGTGGCCTGCAGGTGCAGTGGCTTTGGGATGCAGAGTGTTCAATGGAGGTCTGCAAGACCAGGTAGAGCCCCAATTGTGTGAGGCTGGAAAGTGTAGGGCCCCTAGCAGCCTGGATGCAGGATTTGTCTTTGCCTTAGAGCCCATGTGTGATACTGGGCAAATTGCTTCAGCTTCATGTGTCTCACTGCCCTTTTCTGTGAACAAACTGTGGCTTGTGCCTTCTGTTTTGGTCCATTTTTATTACAGGGCCCAAGGGTAAAGGCAGTGTTTCAAATGATGTGTGGACAGAGCCCAGCAGAAGAGATTGGTGATGGCTAATGGGAAATACAGGGATGAGGGCCATCATCAGCTTCAGACCATGCTGTCTTCTCCATGCAAAGTCTAGGAAATGAGTCTCTGTTGATGGAATAGCAGAGGTCATTCTTTTCTGCATGGAAACTGAAATAGGTACAATACCTGGAATAGAACCTCAAGAAGCTCAGTTGCCAGATTGATTTCTCAAGGTAATAAATCCTTGGCTGCACTTGCTGTGTTAAAATATATGTTCATGCAAGATTCATGATCAGCTCTTAGGAACAAGAGAGCAAAGGGGAAAAAACAGGTTGTTCCAAGATTCTTACATTTAACAATTTTAATTGACCTTTTTTAGGATTATGCTAGATATTATTTCCAATGAAGTAGTTGTAGACTAACTCTTCTTAAAAAGCCACAAAGCTCTGGCCAAGGGAGTCCTGGTGTACTGGGTCAAACACCTACTTCTAGAACTTCTAGTCATATGAATGCCCTTATCCACACCAAAATTATGTAATTATTTATCTCACAGAGATGACACTTACATGACTTAGAAGTCAAATGCAGGTCACCATACTGTCTGCCTCTGCATGTGAAAAGTAAGTTACGGTAACCCAAACACATCAGCATGGCTGCATTTGTACAAAAAAGTTTACTGTTCTTTATGTGGATATTCAGCATTTCCTGATACTCAAGACAACTGCTAGGCAACGAAAATTCCTGGAGAAATGCACAAAATCCTTAAATGTTGTTCAGAAAAAAATTCATAAGCAAAAAAAATGAAAACAACTGTGGGAAAACCTGAATGTATGTTAGGTCCAATCTGTGTTCTCAGTCAGGGAGTCTGAATATGTGGCAAACAGACCTTGCACAGCCCTTCAGGGAAATTCATCCAGCCTGGGGCTTATTCCAGGTACACTTTTTTCCCTAGGGGACCATGCCCCCCCTCTCGCTTGTGAACTGCTGCTACTCTGCTGCAGGGTGGGTTTTGGGCAGGCAGTGGGTGCAGCTGCTGCACTGAGTGTGTGCACAGCAAATCCAGCCCTTCCAGTGAGCACAGGCCCTTGCTGAGGCCAACAGGTTAGAAGGGTGATGGTACAGCTTAGCATGGACCTTAGAAAAGGAATTATGATGGGGTCAGGAGCATGCAGGTATTTTGGGAGTGGGTGATTGAAGTATTATTGTGAAGTGCCATTCTCTGCATTGATTGATGTCTCATTTGAAATCTCCTTCTTGCCTGAAAGAAAAAAGCATGGAAGCATATAGTTTATTCTCTTGAAGTGCAGTGCTTTACAGCTGCTCTTCTCTGTTAAACATCACTGGCTCAATAAAGATTCATCATGTCAGATGTAGTCCCTAGAAGTGGTCAATGTATTGTTTCTCCAATGATTTTATATTTTCTTGCCATCTAAGTAGTTACGGAGTATGGAAAAATGTTTCCTTGTTTCATATTAAAGGTCCAATCCTTGATGTAAGCAGCAATTGATCAATAAAATCACTTGCTTTACTAAAAATGATGTGTTTTATAAATAAGTTAGTTTTCATATGCAAGTCTTTCAAAAAACCAGTGCACACAAGGAGAGCTGGTGTCAGCATTTTTTAATCCTGAGATGACCGAGTTTCTCCTTATGGACACCAAACTTAGCTTCTTCTAAAAAACTTCTAGGCACAACTTCTAGGCACTCTTGTGCTTCTCAAAATATACCGTACTTATGGTGTTTTCCAGGGAGAAGACTCTCTGAGGCAGGCTGCAAATACTATATGTAGCTGTTAGCTTATGAAGGCCAAGAGGTTTTATACATGTATTTAAACCTTTGTATCTCTAGTACTAAAAATCTGTGGAGCAGCTCCTGATCTCACTAAAGTTAACAGCAGGATTTGTGTTGAAACATACAAGAAGAGAACATAACTAGCAGCTTGAGATTATCTGTCTTTGTCTATATACTCTACCACTAGAGAATTACCATTTATGTTGTGTTGTTAGGCAATGGAAACTTTTACCAAGTCCAAACTTAAATGGTTCCCAAGCCTTTTTCAGTTCTGGAAAACGTTTGTATCAAGCTATTCTTGGAATAATCTTCTGCTTTGTTAATTATTATGTGCTACCCAGTAGACATCTAATTATGAGGCACAGGATACTTCCCATTCTAGGAGGATATATAGTACTTCACTGGTTGTTCTTCAGAGTCCATTTTCATTACATTAAGTAAGGTATTTACTTCCTTGAATCCCTTGGGTCTTAAAAAAAAAGAAAAATAAGAAGTTCAACACTGAATGAAGAATGAAGTTCAACACTGAACAGATAATATAGCCACTTACTGTGTGAATGCTTTTATACCACATCACAGGCTGTTCTTTTTTTTTTCCAGAGTGGATATCCAAGTTCTGGCCCTACATCAAGCACTCCTGCCTTCAGGCCTGAGGATGAGCTGGAACATCTGACCAAGAAAATGCTGTATGACATGGAGAATCCTCCGTCCGATGAGTACTTTGGTGAGCCATGTCACAAGTGTTCATGGTCCTCTTCTATATTTACTGGGTTCAGTAATGGGAGGCCTGACAGCTGCACTGCTAATGTAGTGACACTCGTGTTGATGGATGTGCTTTCCATGCTTGGGCTGGAAGTGTAATCATCCATAGGAATTCCTCTGTAATTTCAGCATAAATCTCACGCTCACTCACTGTATGTTTATAGTCTTACTGGATATAAAGTTGAATTTTTCAGTGTCTGGTTCATTTTCACACCATCTGTCTCCAGCTTCCAGGCTACCAGTCTGAATTCAGGTGCTGTTGCTGTCGTGCCTGCCTGCCCCATCCCTTCTCATTGCAGCTGCAAAAAAATCTGGCAGTGTAAATGTGTTCTGCTTCCAAGGCATGGATTTTCATTTTCTGTGTGCTGGCACAGATTAAAAGGAAATCCATTTTGAGTCAATCAGGTTGGTTATACATGGGCACCCAGAACTGGGTCCAACAAATACAAGTAAGACAAATCTGGACTGATTGGTCATAACAGTGTCATCTTCCTTACCTGGAAAAATATAAGCATCTAATTTCCTTCTTAAGTGATATAGAGTATAATTATCTTAGGCATCTATAGGTGTAGAATTATACCTTGCCTTTACATGAAACATAGGTGATAAGACCTCTGAACTCTGCATTGAAATCAAGAGTCTTGGGCACTCAACGATGGGCAGATCGATGGAGCTGCCTGTGTGCTTAGTTTCTTACAGGCTTGGGTAATAGTGTTATTATGAAACAGACTGCTGTAGTTTGTAGAGTTAAAGACTGGGGCAGGCCATTCATTTTGTGTTATTTATCTTCCTTTATTTCAACATTTCTTAAAAAGTAATTTAGATTTCCTCCAGGTTTATTTGCTATAGAGTTTGGTTGGACTGCAACATTTCTGGCTTGAAGAAACTTTTGTGGTCTGGTTTAATCAGAAAGTGGGTGGGACCACAGTTTCACTAACAAACAAGGATCTTGCAGTGGCAAGGATCTGATAATATGAAAAGATTAAGATGTTCTCATCAAACAAACATTGCCCTTGTAGGTGGGGTTAGTATCAGTCCCAATTCTCTATCAGTACCTTCTACCTTCTGTGGGCTGTGCCCTAACAACCAAAATGTCTTCTCTGTAAATACTGATAGTCATCAGAGTTGATGATTATCACAGATCTGAGGTGTGAGCAGGAATGGCTAAGTGAATAGAAAATACCCAGGGATTGTTTTCTGTATTTCTGCCTTTGACTTCATCTCTGCCCATAGCCATTTGGGTTCATTCTCTGATGTTTTAAATGCAGAGCTACAACCAAATAAACATAACCTGTATTAGCCATTACCTGGGCAGGAAAGAGGGAGAAACTTTTTTCCTGCCCTCTTCAGGCAAATGGCTGAAGCCCTGAAGCATGAGATCTGATTACAGCAATTTTCTTAATGCAGAACTCTGGCAGGAGTTGGTTGATGGACCAAAGCCCATTCAGTTTTCCTTTTGCCCAAGAAGCTAGGCAGATAAACAAAGAAGATTCACAAGCTGCAAGGTCAGAAAGGACCTTGCCATTATGCTGCTTAATGTCCTACTCACAGTTTCTCCCAGGAACATGATTGAATCATGACTTGAAAAAAAAAAAAAATTCTAATCTTATCTTAAAAACTTCAAGCAATGGTGAGTCAACCACCTACCCTGATAAGCTGTTCTAGTGATTAATTTTCCTCACAGCTCGAAAATTGCTTCCTGAAGTGAAGCTTTAGTTTTGTTTACCACTTGTATTTATGAAGCTGCAAAGCTCAGATTTTGCAGACTAATGTTGTATGACTAAGATTGCTCTGCTCTATTGGAGAGGGTGGTACATCAAAGTTTCTTCATCCAAAAGGGATGCATAGCTGAAAGAGTGGGAACATAAAGATGCTCAGGTCATCAGTTTGGCTATCAGATCAGACCAATGTCAGACCAATGCCATGCCATTAGCTCTTAATTCAGCAGGAGATGAGAAAATGGAAAGGAGGCTTCAGAGCACTCACAAGTTTTGCCAGTGTTATTTATATAAACAGTAGCATAATCAAAGATGGAATAATCATGCATGATGCATGGTGGAAAAATCAAACAACCACTTTCATCCTACCCTGGGCAGGTCATGTGCAATTACCAACTGCACCTGATTGATCTTCTGATTGCACTGTATGCCACTGAAGTTCATCACTGAGGTGATGTCCATCCCTGGCATTCCTGATGTGCCAAAGAACCATGTGTTGGGCTGAACATCTCTTCAGCTCCCTAAGGATGCTGTGCCCCATGCAGCCTTCTGGGAGCATTTCTATCTAACAAAACACAGAATGCTAGAGCACAACTGCTTTTTATGCTTAGGTAGGGTTGATGCCTAAAGAGGCTGACCTGGAACAGTGGCTAGACAGAGTTAAAGGAATAAGGTAGGTATGTATTAAAAAGTCTTCAAAAGATACACCCTGGGCAATACCAGACCCTGGCTGTGGCTCTGCCCAAGACGGATGACCGGTCAAGAGTTTTCACACTTGTATAAGTTTTGATTCATTTACATATTGGGGTCAATTGTCCAATTATAGCTTCAGGTTATCAAGTCTCATCTTCTCAGATTGCTCTCCTCAGTTCACTGTTCTTTATACTTCTTGAGCCTGAAGCTGCAATGGTGTTCTTGGTTCTCAGGCTGGGAAAGGATTGTTTTGTCAAACTAAACTGTGAAGAAAACTTGCTAACACTTTATGTAAAGTTCAGAGTCACACACAAAGGTAGTACAGAATCTAAAAAATATGAAAACTAAAACTTAAGGCATCACAGTGAAAGAGTTAGGCTGCCCTCATCTTCCTAGGTTTGCTGCAGCCCAGGCTCCTCCCTGGGTTTCTGGAGTCACAGTGGATGAAGCTTTCTGATATGGCAGTGCAGGCCAGGAGTTCTGTACTAATTCTGGCTATGTCAGAACTAAATACTCATCTCTACTTGAGCTGTCAGCCAGTGCCTTTCAGTAACTTCTGCTCATGTGGAAAGAACAAATTAAGTGTGGGAGGAAAAAAGACTCTTTCAGCTTTGGTTAACTGTCTCAACCAATATCTCTGCCCTCGTTCTTTAGTTGTTTAGCATGGTAGTGTGGACTGTACAGGATTCATATGGCACACTTATCAAATAATCCAAAAAAGGACAAATGGGCAGAGACATTGACTCTGATTTGCATTAAATATCTTATGCCTGAGGTCTAAATGTCGTGGTAATTGTAGCATACCAGATAGCTGTCAGCTAATCACTTTTATTAGTTTGAATTTAGAAAACTGGATTTCAGCATATTAAAAGTTGGTTAAGAGCAGATAGGTTTTGAATTGAAGAATCTAATTAACCTTGCTAGAAAGCTGCAAGGCGTTATATTAAGTCATGAAAATAATTTGTTGGAATAATTACATTTGAACTGTTAGGCTGGAGAAAGGTCATTTTACTTGGTCTGCCAGCACTCTAGGATCTTCTCTGTAACCAACTTCCTTCTGCAAGTTCATTCACTGTATCTCTGGTTTTCAATCACGCCATCCTGGTTCTGTAGTCAGCAGAATCTGCCCAGCAGTGGGCAGGGTGAAGGTTCCTTGGGAAGGAAGAGCAGTAGTAGTCACTCAGGTTGTCTCTTTGTCCTGGAAATGCTGTCTGGTACTGCTGGCAGACCCAGTGAGCTGAGCTGAGGATCAGGACAGACAACACTTCCATCCAGTCTATGCTTACTGCACCTCTCTGCAGCTTTCCAGGTGGAAACCACTGAAAGTGATTTCAGAGCTGGGGGAACTGTTCTAGGCAGGGATTGCTCACACAACCACACACAGCTGGCAGCAGGGATCACACTGCCCTCCTGGGGAGCCTGGAAGTGTGGTGGAAGCCAGGAGCAGCATGTTGGAGACACTTGGGAGCAGCAAGATCACAGCTGGCAGCTTTGTCTTTCCAGGACTTAGCACAGCAGCACAATCCAGTCACTGGGAAATCCTCTAGCTGCCATTGGCAAGGCAGTGCTTAAGTATGGAAATATCATTAGGCATAATAATTTTTTAAAAATTCCTGTGAGTTTTTAGGAGTTAAATATGCATGCTGGGCATTGTGCCTAACTGTTGTTAAGACCAAACTGCTTTAATAAGTCTAAGCACCCCAATCCTTGGTGTATGTCCCCTCCTACCCCCTTGTAGATTCTGGAGTAACTTGTGGAGTGACTACTACTGGGAAGTCCTTGGCAGATCAGCAAATTTAAGTCTTTTGTGTCTAAGCTGCTCTTCCTTCTTTACTGATGATTAAGTTGCTGATCTGTGGTAGTTGGCTGTCTTTAATCAAATCCCTTTTTATTAGAAAGGATTCCCAAATGTCTTATGTTCTGTGCAGTAGGAATAGTTTCTCTCTATCACAGCCCTCCCTGTTGATAAATGTGCTATTGTAGACAGGCATGTCTGATTTGTTTGGAAAAAATAATACTTAGTGGAGTGGAAATTGGGTAAGGTTGAAGGAGGAGAAATGGATACTTATAGGAGATTAAAATGAAACTATCAAAATTGTTTGTTGGCCGCCATGGGAAATTACAGCCCTCAATTCTGCATTTTAAAAAACCCAACCAAATACACACACACAGAAAGATCACAACTGTTCTGGACCACTGTTTCAAGTCTTATAGAAAGAAATTACTTCTGGCAGCTTATCAGTCTCTATCACCATGCAGACAGTGCTGATTAAGACTGGAAAAGTGCCATTGGGGCCCCTCATCTCCTGTTGCCTTCTGGACTATGTCCCAGCTGAGTCACTCCCCACAGCAGTTTCCCTGACTGGTGGGAAGAAACTCTCACTGGTATTTTACCATAAATGCTCAGAGCTACCAAAGGAACCACCAGTTTCATGTATTGGATAAGGTAGCATTCTCCTTCTGTAGTTCCAGCATGCTGTAGGGATGCATGGGGAGAAGAGAGATGCCAGAATCATCCTGTGGGAAATACTCAGTTTGTGCAGTAAAGGAA